TGTGGGGTCATGATTTGTGGAAGCTCTATCAACAATCTCCGATATGCAGATGACACAACCCTGCTTGCTGAAACTGAGGAGGACCTGAAGCACTTGCTGCAGAGGGTCAGGGACTGCAGCTTTCAATATTGATTGAGGCTCAATGTCAAGAAGACAAAGATTCTCACCACTGGACCAATTGGCAGCATCAGGATGGATGGTGAAAAGATTGAGATTGTTCACAGCTTTAGTTTGCTTGGCTCCACCGTCAACACTCTTGGCACCAGTAGCCAGGAAATTAAAAGGTGTATTGCGATGGGAATTCTGCGGTTAGGGACCTCTCCAAAGTACTGAAGAGCAATGGTGTCTCTCTGGAGACTAAGGAGCGTCTGATACCGGCCATGGTCTTTGCAATCATTTGTTATGCATCAGAATTGGACAGTGATTAGGGAGGATAGAAGGAGAATTGATGCCTTTGAGTTGTGTTGCTGGAGAAGAGTATTGAATGTACCATGGACTGCCAAGAAAACAAACACATTCATCCTGGAGACGGCTAAACCATGCTGCAAATTGGAGGCACGGATTCTGGGGCTTCGTCTGCCATACTTTGGACATGTTGTAAGGAGGGACAGGTCCTTGGAAAGGGACATCGTGCTTGGGAGGGTGGAGGGATGGCTCAAGAGGAGAAGACCCTCTGTGAGGTGGATTGATTCAGTGACTGGGAGAATCGGGATGGGTGTTTCAGAGGCAGTGAGTTTTGCACAGGATAGAGGAGGGTTTAGGGCTGTTGTACATAAGGCCGCTCTGAGTCGCAAGCGACTCGACAGCACATAAGAACAACAATAACAACAACAACCATGATGGATGGAGAGGGGATTAAAGTTGTTAACAATTTCGGCTTGCAACAGCAGTCAGGAAACCAAAACACAAATTGCATTAGGTAAATCTGCTGTTCAGAGTACTGAGAAGCAACAGTTTCAGTCTAGAAACTAAGATGCACCTAATCAAGTCCATGATGTTCATAATTACTTGCTATGATGATAGAAGAAGAATTGATGCCTTTGAGTTGTGGTGCTGGAGAAGGGTCTTGAACATACAATGGACTGCCAAGAAAATAGGTCTGTCTTGGAGAAAGTTAAACCTTGGAGGCTAGGATTTTGAAGCTCTGTCTCACACAGTTTGGGCCTGTGGCCAGAGGGACCGATCCTTGGAGAATGACATCATGCTCAGAAGAGTGGAGGGATTGTGCAGTAAAGGAAGACCCTGGAAGAGATGGATTTTGATACAGTAACTAGGGCAAAGGGTGTAGGAATGTTGGAATCAGTGAGATTGCTTCAGGACAGGGCAGCCTTCAGAAATATTGTACATAGGGTTGCTATGAATCACAGGCAACTCAATGGCATATAACAATAACAACTGATGGATATGTAGTTTATTCCTGTTTTTTTCCACTATTATGTATTAGTCTTCGGTGAATATTCTTATCCATAAATCTCTGATAACTCAAGAAAATGAATTTTAGATTGTGGAATTGTTGACCTACTAATTGGAGAGATACTACTTAGTTTTTCTGTTTGAAAATCATTCAACTTTACATTCTGCCAGCAGTATATGACCTCCCCCTCCAATCTCCCTATATCTGCTCCAGTATTATAAATCACTCTATTTTGAAAATAGTTTTCAATGATAGGCAAAGATAAAGACTTACACAGTTTTACAAAAGTGGGACCTGAAAACTTCATGAGTTCAGTTCATCCCTGCAGTTAGCTACTTCCTAGATTGATAAACTCCTGAGTTTTTATTAGGCGACCTGCTTACTAAAGAAAGGAAGAAAGGTAGTCCTTTTTGAAAGAAATGGCAACAATTAAACAAGTAAAGTGTTTTGAGTGAGAAACAATTTATCTCTGAGTAAAAACTTTCAGATAAATTTCCCCAGGAAGTATTATTTTATGATGTGTTCTGATTAATCCAAAAACCATAAACCCAGGTGATTTATGTTTTCTTGCTATTTTCTCTCATTAGGAAGGATCTGCAACAAAACCCTTAAGGGATAAGTATGGCTGAAAGATTAGTGGAAGTAGCTATACTTTGTGGTTTATTATTTAAGAGCTTGTAGTTTCTGCCGGGCCAAGCTAGCAGTGTACTCACAGAAGAAGAGCAATTATGTATTTTAATAGCCATGGCTGGTATCCAAATCAGAGGCAAGGCAAGGCAATGTATAAGAAGGGAATCTGGAGCAGAGAGGAGGTAGAACCCTTGTAGAGCTCACACGTGCCTGTGACATTCATCTTTAAAGCTCAGACCTAAGCATCAGATGTTCCTGGTGCTTGCCTCTCCTTTACAGTGGCTTCTCGGGCTGGTCGGAGTCCCATGAGCATCGGATTGTCCCAGTGCTTGCCTGTCCTTTGCAGTGGCTTCTCAGGACTGGTCAGAGTCCCATGAACATTAGATGGTCCTTGTGCATGCCTCTCCTTTGCAGTGGCCTCTCAGGGTTTGTTGGAGTCCCATTGTGTAGCTCTCAGTCTTCATACTTTTCATAAATTTCAGATTACTTCTTTGGGTGAGAGACACTTCTGTGACTTGAATATGTTAATGTGTGAGCAGTTTTTTAAGACATCCACATCAACTGTAGAGATGACATAATTAAGACCTAAAGAGATTAAATTATTTCTTTCATTGAATAATGGAAGGAAAGAACTTTTTCACTTGAGCTTCAAAGACAAGAGAATGTTGAACAGAAAAGAACTCTTGTCTTCAAATTCCTACATCAAGAATGGCTCATCCACCAGATGCTTTGCTGGAGAAGGAGGGATAGTCTCCTCCCATGCCAGTCGAATCAGATTTGATGATACACAAGGAAAAAAAACAAAAACAAAAGAGGCTCATAGTTGGTACACCAGTACCTTTAGTTCCTTTCTACCGGGCAGGCATTGTTAATCAACCTCAGTGCTGCTCCTCAACCAAGCTTGAGCCCAGCCTGGGTGTCTTCACAATGCTACAGGCACCTGGTAGTAATGCACTGAGTTTGCACAAGAAGTAAACTATGTATCCCTTCTTCTCCGTGATGCAACTGTGTGGTTCATGATAGGATAAGTGAGCTAAGCTTCCTTCCAGGCAGCTCAGTTTGGTTCCTGAACGAATTATTTTATAGCCACTCCATATTGAGCAAGCCTCACCCTATACTGAGCAAGCCTCATGACCTTTCTGGGGCCATTTCCTCATTTCCAAAATAAGAGAAAGGAATGAAGTAATCTTTAATCACTCTCTTAGCTCTTGAAAAGATGTGATCTAAAGTAGAAGTTGTACAAAGAATGCGTGAATACAGATATACCTTTTCTTAAAGATTGTAAATGAGTTTTAGGAGATCCCTTAAAGTCTTCCTCCCCTTCTGAATACTACTTTTCATTCACTGAGTCCTTCATCTAAATAACCCAATCTAGAATTTAGGAGTTCAGAAGAAAGAAAAATGGATTAGCTTCACTGAAAACTAGAGTAACGTTAAGCCTCTTCTTGGTTGTGGGAGACTGTAATCTCTCACACTTCAGGTTGAGAAAAGTGGACTGTTTTGGGTTGCCCAGCAGCGGTAGGGTTTTGAGTTGCTGCTTCTTTCCATCTCCGGTTGTGTCTATGACGTATGTTTCAGCAGGTGGTCATCTGGGGCTCCTCACATCTCGTACCTGCTCCTGACGACTGCACTTGGTGGTAGTATGAGATGTCTTCCATTTGGCCATAACTCCTGTAACCTGGACCTGAAGCGCTTGCTGCAGAAGGTCAAGGACTGCAGCCTTCAATATGGATTGAAGCTCAACATCAAGAAAACAAAGATTCTCACCACTGGGCCAATTAGCAGCATCAGTATGGATGGTGAAGAGATTGAGATAGTTAATAGTTTTAGTTTACTTGGTTCCACAGTCAACACTTTCTGTAACAGCAGCCAGGAAATCAAGAGATAAATTGCACTGGGAAAGACAGCTGTGAGGGACCTCTCAAGAGTACTGAAGAGCAATGACGTCAGGCTGGAGACCAAGGTGTGCCTGATTCTGGGTATAGTCTTTGCAGTTACGTGCTATGCATCAGAGAGTTGGACAATGAATAGGAATGATAGAAAGAGAATTGATGTCTTTGAGCTGTGGTGCTAGAGAAGAGTGTTGGATACACCATGGACTGCTAGGAGAACAAACAGGTTTGTCCTGGAGAGGGTGAATCCAGAATGGTCCTTGGAGTGAAGGATTCTGAAGCTTCATTTGACATACTTTGGGTATGTTGCAAAGGGGGACTGGTCCTTGGAGAGGGACATCATGTTTGGGAGAGTGGAAGGACGGCACAGGAGAGGAAGACCCTCGATAAGATGGATTGATTCTGTGATTGGGGTGGTGGGAATGAGTGTGTTTGAGACATCGAGTTTGACACAGGGTAGAGCGGCATTTAGGGCTCTTGTACATAGGGTCACTATGAGTCACAAGTGACTCAATGGCACATAACAATAACAACAACAATTCTCACAAACCCACTTTTGCAGTCCCTGTGTCAGTCCATCTTGTTGAGGGTCTTCCTCTCTTGATGACTCTCTGTATTACTAAGCATGATGTCTTTTCCTAAAGACTGGCCCCTCCTGACAACGTACTGGAAGGATGTGAGATGACACTTCCTCACCCTTGCCTATACTGTGGAACTGCCAGGTTATACTTTGTCCAAGACATATTTGTTTGTTTTTGTCAGTCCATGGATTATGCTTTCTCAGCATCACAGTTTCAAAGGCATTAATCTTTCTTTAGTCTTCTTGACTTGTTGTCCAACTTTTGCATACTTAGGAACCAACTGAAAAGACCATGGCTTGGATCAGGTACACCTGAGTCTTTTAATTGACATCCTTACTCTTTAGCACTTTAAAGTAGTCTTTGGTAGCAGATTTTCCCCATATATTTTTTTTAATTTTTTCCCTGCTATTACCATGAATGTTGACTGTAGATCTAAGTATAATGAAATCCCTGGCATCATCCATCTCCTGGTTTCTCTTCCAGGCTCTCCATCCCTTCGGACATATCCTCTCCTCTCCGTCATCACTCGCCAGCCCACAGTCATCTCCCACCTGGTCCCTGCCACCCCAGGAATAGCCCAAGTGTTGTCCCACCACCCAGCCACTGAGGCCACTCCTGTGGAAGCCCCAGGTGGTGAGGCTTTGGCAAGCAGCGAGTCAGAGACTGAGCAGCCAACACCACGGCAGAAGAAGCCCCGCCGCAGCCGCACCATCTTCACAGAGCTGCAGCTCATGGGCCTGGAGAAGAAGTTCCAGAAACAGAAGTACTTGTCTACTCCAGACAGGTAAGACCATGGGAAAGGAGCGAGCTCTGCAGTTAAACCTTAATGAGGAGACTTTCTTTGCTGTCTGTGTAGTCTTCACTTCTGGGCACTCTTTGAGATTCTGGAAGTGTGTTCCTTGTCTCAGGTAGCCCCATCTCAGAGCTATAGTAATGCATCACCCATAGTCCTCAAGACTCCTGCCTGTTGCTGAATCTGTACCTTGTGTCCAGGGCTGAATTGAAGTATATAAAGACCCTCAATGCTAATAATCTGTGGTTCCCCTTCCTCTACTTTCTTGCACATTCATATAGGATGTTTATTGTGTGTGCGTGCACGTGCATGCATGTGTGCACATGTGCATGCACTCTCCATGGTATGGCTTTTGAAAAGGCTACAATTTTAGTGACTGAATAGACATATAGTGTTTCCTATTTTGGTGGAATTAAACCAAAATTTTTAGTGCATGAGGAGTACTAAGAATTTTACTGTACACTACATTTTTTGACAAAAAAATCCACATATCCTACAACAATGTAAAAAACTAGTCTGAGAAACTAATGTCTGTTGAAACTAAGGTGTTTCAACAATCAGTGTAAAATTACATTGATTTCCCCTAACACAAACTGCCTTTCACCAATTTTACTTTATCTGTTTTGATATTTGTTTTATAATAAATGCTATAATTATAAATGATTAAATAAGAAGATGTCATACACATTTAGTCATTGAAAATACATAGTACAATTACTGTTTTATTTTTAGGTAGATGTTTCATCTCTAGCATGTTATAATTAAAAACATTTCTTTCTGTTCTTTTATCTTACATATTAGTAGTGTCACAAGCTGCTGAACACTACTTATTTACATATATAGTAAGGATAATAAAAATATTTCTTGAATCATTGTTATATAATAAAGATTTTTAGAAGCTCTTTAGGGATGGAGATGAGTTCTGTTGTGCAGTTTGTGGTCACTAATTAGAAATATACATGAAGTAATTTCAACATTGGAACATGTGCTTTGTTGTTGTTTTTTTCTTTTATTGTGGAATTATTCAATCGGACATGAGTAAAATTTGTCTTTCCTAAATCTGTGGACTTAGTTCTTATGTAAGAATGAAATTATTTTACTTCTCTGTATAGATTGATCTTGACACTCAGCACTTGGAGAGCGCATCTTCATTTATTTGTTTCTTTCTTATGCTTCTGTGACAATGGACTGCTTGATAGCCAGCATTTGGCTTATTGGATTTTCTGCATTTTCAAAATATTCTCTTAAGATAGATAGAGATAGATATAGATGATATAGATGATATAGATATAGATATAGATATAGATATATACACATATACATACTCTGCTCATAACTTGTAGAAATCTGTGTGTGTCTTTAGGTTTATTTGTGAATGTTGGAGAATTGGATTTGGCTGATGAAAAAAGCAGTCATATTATTAGTCCACATAACCATTTCTCTGGTGTTTGTATTTCAAGCAGTGATTTCGGTTTCTCTTTTCGTATCTCTGTTTTGTGTTTTTATGAAAATGGTCACCATAATTTTCTAAAGTGTCTAAAATTTGCATGTACAGTTACAGGATTGCACTCATTGCTACAGCATGCGCTTCCCAGTGTATATTAGAAAGAATGATCATTGCCTAAATATATTTTAAAAGTTGTCTGTTGGTGAGTTGAGGTAGCAGAAAATGTCTGGAATAACTAAGCATGAGGTAAAAATAATAAAATAATTCTGGATGAATCTACTACCCTATCTAGTGTCCTGAACTAACTGAATGTGCAGCACATGATACGAAAATGGCATGTTTGCAACATCCTATGACTTTGTTCTGTGCCTTAAGATGCCCTGAAATATTGGCAGCAGTATCATAGCTCTAGTCACTGCATCCAGATAAAATCAGTTTTGCAAACTCCACATAAGTAGTGAAATATTTGATTTGTAATTTCTCCCCTAGTGTGAATTTTTAAGGTAGTTAATGTGGTAGATGATTTTTTGGCCATCTATTTAATTCAGTTTCATGGACAGATTTTTCCATCTGTTGGAGACTTTGTTGTTATGTACCATTGAGTTGCCTGCGACTTATAGTGACCCTATGTACAGTAGCCTTGAAACTTGCTCTGTCCTGTGCCAACTTTACTGTCTCTTAAACACCTACCCTTATTACTACAGTCACTGAATCAATCCATCTAATTGATGGTCTTCGTCTCCACCCTTCCAAGCAAAATGTCACTCTCCATGGACCAGTCCCTCCTTGTAGCATGCCCAAAGTATGTCATATGAAGCTTCTGAATCCTTGTCTCCAAGAAGCAGCCTGGTTTCAGTCTCTCTAGGGAAAATCTGTTTGTTCTTCTGGCAGTCCATGGTATATTCAACACTTTTCTCCAACACCACAGCTCAAAGGCATCAATTCTCTTTCTATCATCCTAGTCATTGTCCAGCTCTCTGATGCATACATAGCAAGCAATTGTATGGCCTGGATCAAGTGCACCATAGTCTAGATCTCTTAAAACAATTTTTAGCTGATATATATGAGAAAATTAAAGAGTGAAATCTGCAGACAAAGTGAAATACTGAGTTTTACTTGTTTCATGGAAAACAGTTGATTGAACATTGTTATTTATTAATTTTCACAAGTTCTTATATAGATATTTACAATATGTTGTTTTTTCCTTTGTTACTGTAGTTTGATATAATACCTGCTAAATATGGATCAAACTGAGCAACAAGCCCAAGTAAACAAAAAATATTTTCCATTTTGTGGAGACTCAAACATTTCATTTCTCCCTTGAAAACATAATCCAGATTATGATTGGTGTAGTGATAACAGCAACATGTTATTAAACAGCTTCCTAGTATTGATACTCTTCCTTCATTTGTGTGTCCAGCTCATTATTTAAATAAAACCCAACATACACTCTCTGTAAATTGAGCTATTTTCATATTTATAAATCATACTCAAGTTACACTAAGCAATAAATATGTCCAAAACAAATTGATAATTAAATGAGTTAGCACTTTACAAAAAAAACCCTAGTCAACTGATGGCCACTTCATCTGATAATTTTCATCATTAACTTTTCACCCTAGAAATATACTCTGACAATATAGTCTTGTTTGATTATCACTCAGGAAATTTCAACATTTACCTTTTTAAAAAAATTTTCTTTTATATTGGTTTCCTTACAAAGTTCGTATATATTTGTGTGTTCACACTATTCTTCATTTGCATTGTGAGTGGTAGAATCATTCCCATGCACTATGTTTTATAAAATTAATCACTTTTTTT